GTTCAAATCTGGCTCAGACACTTACTAGCTGTGTGACCCTGTGCAAGTCACTTAACCCTGTTTCCTCAGTTCCTCATCTGTAAAATGAGCTGGAGAAGGAAATGGCAAACCTCTCCAGTATCTTTGCCAGGAAAATGGAGTCACAAAGAGTTGGACATGACTGAAATGACTGAACAACAATAACATGATGGAAGAGATGCTTGATTAGGACTCAGGAGATCTGATATCTAGTCCATGTTCTTGGAGCCTAGAAACCTAAAATATAAGTTTTTCAATTGTTGGCTATTTCTTCTCCTTCATCTCTGAGGGCAAGAGCCAGAGGAAAGGTAGGCATAATCCTTGCTTCCCCCTGATACAATCCTCTACCACTACCACTCAATTATTATTATTATTATTTAGAGCTCCATGCCACCTGCTTGTGTTACCTTCTCCCTACCTCATTATTAATAACTATCAAACTCCAGATGGTTTTATCAACTTTTTCCAACTTTTTCAATGTGTTTAATATCCGGCTCATACTCTACCCAATCCCCTGTTATTTAATCCTGGAGACTTCAATTTTCATATTGACCAATCCTCTAACAACCTGACCTTTCCATCCCCTTAAACATCTCAACTCTGTTCATTATTTCAATTTTACGTCATCTACACAACATGACTACACTTTAGATTTTAATATGTCCAAGAACTGTATAGTCTCCAAGATCCCAAAATGGGAAATTCTACTTTCTGAACACAGCCTTCTATACTTTTAGAAGTATACTATACTTTACTTTAGAAGTATACTATACTTTCTGTCTTTTTTATATTTATTGTTACCTTTGGTCCTTTGGCCCATTTTTCTAGAATCTCAGTCTGTGTCCTTTGCTCTAGCTTCACCCAGGTTTTACCCCATAGTTTGCCTTGTCTCACTGACCTGCCATTCATGACCTCTAAATTCTCACCCTTGAGCAATTTCTACTTTGTTTTCGCTGCATCTGCTTCAGAACTATTGAAGATCGCTGGAGAGAAAGTAATGAAATCCAGCAGATTCATGGTACATAAACACAGATGATGAACTATTACTAGTCTTATTTCTGTAAGAAGTTTTAGGCCCTTCTTCTCAAAAAGATTAAACTTTTCCATTTTTAAGTGTTTTTCAACAGTATTGCTCCTTCTTTTACCTTTCCTCTTGTCCAAAAAAATATCCCTACTGCTCACTAAGGTAGTGCCTGCCTGCCTGCCTGCCTGATACCATTGCCTCCCTGGCCTCCTCCAGGACTTTTCATCAGTAGTCATCCCTCAGAATGACAAAAAAAAAAAAAAGCTCAGTTAAAAGGGATCACAGGGGCCCTCCAAGTAAACTTCTACCTCAACAACAACAAAGCCTACTAAAAGGTAACATACAGATGGTCATCCAGCTTTTGCTTGAAGATTTCTAGTGAGAAGGAACCAGTCCTTTGAAGCATCCCATTCCACTTTTGAATAACTCAAATTGTTCAGAAGTTTTCCTTATTCCTCTCTCTGCTGCTTCTAGCATTGCTCCTAGTTCTATCATCTGAGTAAAACAAGGAGAACAAAGCTAATCTTCTTTGGTGTGATATCTTTTAAATACAGGAAGATAGGTATTATCCCAAGTCATATCTTCTCCAAGCTAAACACCTCCAGTTTCTTCAACAAATGTTCGTATTGAATGATCTTAAGGTCCTTCACCCTCCCATTTGCCCTCTTCTTGGTGTCCTCCAGCTTATCAGCACCCTGCATAAAATGTGGCACCCACAGCTGAACACAGCCACCACAGATGTAGTCAGGCAGAGTGGACTATCTGCTCCCTACTCCTACATACACTCTCTCTTATTGCAGCCTAAAATTTACATTAGCTTTTTGAGGCTTTAAAATTGCACTGTTGACTTGTATTGAACTTGCTAACCACTAAAACCCTCAGATCTTTTTTAGCCTTCCTCATCTTGTACTGGTGAGGTTTATTTTAAAAATAACAACAACCTCAAGTACAGGTCCTTATGTATACCTTTATTATATTTCATTTTATTAGAGTCAGCCTGTCAAGATTTTTTGGGATCCTGACTTCAACTATCTCGTTAATAAAATGTCTACAATTCTGCCAGAAACCAGAGTCAAGATTACTAATTCTTTTTTGAAAACTGGCACACAAAAAAAATTTCCTTTCTGCAATTCTACAGATGTCTGCAATCTTTTATTCTCCGTGTTCTTTCAAAGATCACTGGCAGGTGGGACCCTTGTTCAGTTCCATCGTCCTTTGGTGGAAGGGATACAGTCCCAATGTCATCATCATCATAGGGTCACAGATTTGGAGCTGGAAGGTATGTTAGGGGTCATCTAGTCCTCAAATCCCTCTACCCAAAAACAGCAAAAAGATTTATATGAGTTTATCAATATCTTGGACAGGATATAGTTCCTTTTGAACTCATCAATTATATGCTCTGTTAGTATCTCCTTACTCAACACCCCAGTAGCTATGTCTGTTCCGTATTTTCAAGTTCAAACATCATTCGCCTGAGCAGAGAAAACAGAAGGAAAATAAAAATTGAGAAGCTCTGCATCCCCTCTGTTGCTCATTGTCATTGTTCTGTTGATACTGAATAGCAAACCTAGACCTTTCAGGAGCTGTTTATTTCTCCCAATATAGTTTTTTTAATCACCCAAGCTCTTTCTGTTGTCTTCAGTTCCTACACCAAAGTTTTGCTCATTCCGAGCTTTAGCATTCCTAACATTATTCTTACACGGAAACCTTTTTGAATTCAAGGGCAAATGCCCTTGCTTCCATCTTCCGCAGTTGTCTGTTTAAAATATAAGTTGGGTGAGTTCACTGTGCACTCACACTGTTCTTTGTAGACAACTCCCCATTTTTATCCTTGCTGGAATTGTTTCTGTGTTTCTGGAATTCCATTCACTAGGGCTTATCATCGTCCTTCCTTGGTTGACTTCCCCGGAGGAATTTTAATCTTTCAATTCAAAAATATACTTATTAAAAACCTGCTACAATTAGTGCCAGGCACAACCCTAGGAATTGGGGCTATCATAATAAAACCAAAGCAAACCCTGACTTCAAGGAGTTTACATTCTCCTTTTAGGATATAACAGTTTCATAGACAAGTTAATATAAAGTAATTTCAGGAGAGACAGACAGACAAATACACAAATAGGCAGAGGGAAAAAAAATCACTGTGGGAAATCGGGAAAGGTTTCATCTGAGAGGTAGAGACTTAGCCGGGACATAAAGGAAGATAGGGCTTCTAAAAGGCAGAGACAGGAATAGTGTTCATCTCAGACAAATGGGACACAGCTTATGCGAAAGCAAGGAGGCAGAAAATGACACATCAAGTTTGGAGAACAGCTGGTCGGCCAGTTTGGCTGGAACAAAGAATACAAGACTAGTGGGGTGGCTAGGTGGTGCAGTGGATAGAGCACCGGCCCTGGAGTCAGGAGGACCTGAGTGCAAATTCAGCCTCAGACCAACCACTTGACACGTCCTAGCTGTGTGACCCTGGGCAAGTCACTTAACCCCAATTGCCTAAAATGAACCAAAAAAAAAAAGAATACAAGACTAAGAAGTCACATGTAATAATTCTGGAAAGACAGATGGGATTTGTATGGTGGGAAAATGACAGATTGAGAAGGCTTTATATTATCTTAGAGTCACTGAAAGTGTCCTGCCTCAAACACTTACTACCTGTGTGACCTTGGGCAAGTCACTTAAACTCTATAAATCTCATTTTTCTCAACTGTAAAATGAGCACCTACGTCACAGGGCTGTTGTGAAGATCAAATGAGATAATATTTGTAAAATGCTGTATAAACACATTACGTAAATAGCTGTTATGATGATTAGAGTGGAATAACATAGTTCAGACTCTTGAATAAGAATATTTATTTGGCTAACTGTGTGGAACATAAGATTAGAGAGAAGAGACCAGAAACAGAAAGATCAACCATCTATTACAATAGTCCAGGCAAGAGGTAATGAGGGCCTGAACTAGACAGAGAATTGTTCCTGTGAGTTGAATTAATGGGATGGTAATGAGAAGTGCTACAGGAAGAAAACTGACAAGACCCAATAACTGACTGACTGGAGGGTGAGGGAGAAAAGAGTCAAGCATGCCTCCAACCTTATAAACCTGAGTGGCTAAACATGATCAGATCTCCAGATTCCTGAAACTTCCCCTTGATCTTCTATTCCTTTTATTTCTATCCCTTTTCATTTATTTATCTCTTTTATTTCCTTTTGCATCTCTCCTCTTTCACTTCTAAATTTCTTAAAAGGGTTGTCTATATCCAATAGTTCCATTTTTTCACAATGCTATCTCTCCTCAATCCCTTACATGCCAGTTTCCATCCCCTCCCACTCTACTGAAACTGCCCTTCTTAAAGCCACTAACGACATTTAACAATTGCCAAATTCAATAACACCTTTTAAATCATCCTCTCTGCAATAGTTTTATATATACTGTTGACTACTTTCTTCCACTGGCTTCCCTCTTCTCTCTCTGTTCCAGTCATACTACATTCTCCTGGTCCTCCTCTGTCTATATTAATGCCTCTATTTCTTTGATTAGCCCTTCATTCTTTTTAACTTTCATTTAATGTGGGTGGGCCCTGGGAACCTGTTCCTAGATGATTTTTCCTCTCCACCTACACTTTCTATGGTGATCTAATTCAGTTTCATGGTTTCAACTACTATTGTTGTACATTAGGTTGTGACTACTTGAGGACAGGGACTATCTTTTGCCTCTTTTTTGTATTTCCAGTGCTTAGCACAGCACTTGGAACATATTAAGTGCTTAATAAATGTTTATTGACTGACTAGCATGTGGATGGTACCCAAATCTATATTGGTATTTTTTTTTCTTTTTATTCTTTTCATTTCTCTTTCTCTTCCCTATATTACCACCTGCCCATGTGGCCATCTCATCGTCACCTAAAGCTTATTATGTTCCAATTTAAACTTGTTTGCCTAAAAGAGTATTTTACATAGAACTCACCCAAGGCAAGCACTCACATGGAGATCAGAAGAAGGAATACAAGAATACTCTTAAGGTCTCTCTGAAGAACTTTGGAATTGATTGTGAGTCATGAGAGACACTGGTACAGGGTTGCCCAGCATGGAATGCCTGCATCAAAGAAGTGCTGTGCTCTATAAGCAAAGCAGAATTGTAATAACACAAAAGAAACTTGAGGTGCACAAATTTAGAGACATCTCCACTCCAAACATTCATATGGATTATTTGTGCCTGACTTGTGGAAGAGCTTTCCAAGTTCATATTGGCCTAGTCAGACCCACTCTATGTTGGCCTTGATGTGGTGATATCATTTCGGTCCTTTTCAGCATGAAAGACAACAATCAACCAATCTCTTTCATCCTTTGGGGTTAAACATCTTCTGAAGACAGTCTACAAGAGATTTTCCCTATTCTTCCTCTCCCCTCACTCTCTCAACCCCTTACAACTTCCAATCTCATCGTTCAGTTAAAACTGCTCTCACTAAAGTTATCATTCATCTCTTCATTGCCAAATCCAATGGCCTCTTCTCAATCTTCATTCTCCTTGACGTCTCAGCAGTCTTTGACACTGTTGATCACCCTGTCCTCCTTGATATTCTTTTCTCACTAGGTTTCTGGAATACCACTCTCTTCTGTTTATCTTCCTACCTATCTGACCACTCCTCAGTCTTCTTTGCTGGATCTTCATCCAGATCATGTACTCTAACCATAGATGTCCTCCAAGGTTCTGTCCTGGGCCCTTTTCTCTTCTCCCACTGTTCTACTTAGTAATCTCATCAGCTCCCATGGATTTACTTACCATTTTTATGCTAACAATTCTTGAATCTAGCTATGCTCTCTGACCTCCAATTTCACATCTCTAACTACCTTTCAGATATCTCAAACTGGATGTCTAGCAGGCATTTAAACTCAACATGTCCAAAACTGAACTCATTTTCTTTCACCCTAAATCTTCTCCTCTTTCATACTTCCTTATTATTATCAAAGGTACCAAAACCCTCCCAAATTACCCAGACTCACAATTCAAGTGTCATCCTCAACTCCTCACTATCTCTCATCCCTCTATATCCAATCTGTTGCCAAGGGCTATCAATCTCCCCTTTGAAACATCTCTTAAATATGGCCCCTTCTTTCCTCTGATACTGTCACCACCCTGGTGCTGACCCTCATTTCCTCATACATAGACTATTGCAATAGCCTGCTGGTTGGTTTGCCTGCCACAAAACTCCCTCCACTCCAGTCTATCCTCTAATCAGCCATCAAAGTGTTTTTTTTTCCTAAAGTAAGGTCTGACCTCTCTCTCTCTCTCTCTCTCTCTCTCTCTCTCTCTCTCTCTCTCTCTCTCTCTCTCTCTCACACACACACACCACACACACACACACACACACACACACACAATTTCATTCCCTATGACCTCCAGGATCAAATATAAGATACTCTGTTTATTGTTCAAAGCCCTTTATAATCTAACCTCCCCCCCCCATCTTTCTAGTCTTCACATATCTTACATTTCCTACATTCATTACACTTCTCTACATACTCATTGATTCAATGACTCTGGGCTCTTGGCTCTTCCTCAAACAAGATACTCCATCTCCCAACTCTGAGCATTTTCATTGACTATTCCCCATGTTTGGAATGCTCTGCCTTCTCATCTCTGCCTCCTGTCTTCCTTGGTTTTCTTCAAATTCCAGTTAAAATCCCACCTTCTACAGAAGGCCTCATCCAATAGTTAATTCCTGTGTCTTCCCTCTGTTGAGTATTTCCTATTTATCCTATATATGTAGTTTATTTGTACATAGTTGTTTGAATTGTCTTCCCATTTAGATTATGGTCTGTTGGAGGGCAGGGGACTGTCTTTTGCTTTTTTTTTTTTTTGGTGTCCCCAGCACTTACCACAGCACATAGTAGATGCTTAATAAATGCTTATTTCCTGACTAATGCTACCTATATTTCAGGTCTTTGTCATTCTGCCTCTAATCTTTCCCTGGGCTAATCCATCTTTTGTAGTTGTCAAAATGCTTTTCCCAATTCACAGTTTTGACCATGTTACTTGCTAAATCACAATTTGAGTGAAGAGACCTCAGAAGCCATCTATTCCAATGCATATGTGAAAGGAAGGAATCCTCATTATAACATGATCATATAGGCTCTGCTTGAAGACCCTGCTCAGAAATCTTAAATGATTCCCTGCTGGCTCCAACCCATCTTTCTACCCTTATACTGCCCCTTTGCACATTTCTATATTCTGGACAACTTGGCTAATGCTTTTCTGGATCTCTTTCTTCCTTTTCCTGACAGTAGATTTTCACAAGCCCTATCTTATGCCTGGAATACACCCCTTTCACATATCTGCTGGTTGAAATTCTCTTCCTTCAAGGTCCAACTTAGGTATTTATTGTCTCCTCCATGAATCCCCATCACCTGCCTGCTCCCTCCCTGCAACCAGAAGTGATCACTCTTTCCTCAAATTTGTCATAGTATTTTGTCTAGAAACACATACTTTGCCCCAATCACATTCTACCTCATATGATACTTATTTGTGTTTATGTCTCAGCCCTTGCCCTTCGATTTAAAGCTTTGTGAGGGCACCATGTAATTTTTAATCTTTGTCTTCCAAACATCTAATGCAGTGCCTCGCACATAACAGGGTCTAATACATGTTTGTTGAACTTCTCAAATAACTTCAGCTGAGGCCAGCTACTTGCAGCTTTTTCATCCAACCCCTGTAAACATTCCAAGGAGACAGGGTCAAATTCTCCCCTCCCTGTCCACTCCCTTGAGGGGCTTAACAGCTGGGTCTCAGCTCAGGCTGCCCACATGGCCCTGTATTGAGTTTGGCTGGAGCCAAGAATGTGACATCTAGGCCACAAACTAGAGCCAGGATATGGCCACGACCATGCCAACATGCCATTCTTACCCCACTCAGTCTCAATAAGATATCGCCACCTCTCCCCTCACATTGTTGGCTACAGATATTAAGGTTGGCTGTTTTTCTTCAGGTCAGAATACCTCTGCATACCACTGTTCATCTGCCCTCTCAACTTCTAAAAACTGAGGATGAGATAGACCAACAAGAACTTGCTGGTAAAATGAGGGAATGAGCCTCATTTACTTCTAAGAATCCTTCCAGCTCTAATTCTATAACCCTACTACTTTATTAGTAATAGTGTTCAAAAAAATACAAATGAAGTACCTTTCTGCATTGATTTAAATTAATTTTCAGGACCCTTTAAAAATAGAATGAATTTGGTGCAAATGAATTGCTATTTTGATGTTCTGTTTTTCTGCTTTGAAGACTGGAAAGTGAGTTGCCAAGCATAATTAAATTTGACATCTGTGCCCACTATTCTCACCATTCACAGTCAGTGCTATTCTTAGCTAACCTTAATGAACCTTGAGACAACCAATACCATTTAAATATCAGTTCATTCAATTATACAAATTACATAATTATTATTCAATTATACAAATATCATTTGTATTCTGATGAAGGTATTCTGCTTTTAATTCATATCATTGAACTTAGAATGGCACATGTTTTGAAATTTAATGCTTTTACCAGACATAATCATTTCAATCAATTCCTTCATTTGAGAATATGACTAAATTCCCAGAAGTCCTTTGCTTAGAGTCTTTTATATCTAGTGGTACCAATGTAGGAACTGGATTGTTCATCTGCTATTCTTCATTCTCACTGAATGACTGGCTCACTTCCTTTTCTAATCATGCATTTCCTGAATGTCCTTTACTCCTCTTTTGGTGAACAAACCATGATTTCTAATATACTTAAGATAACTTATGTGTCCACTATATCTCCACTATCACTTCAGATTCTGATTATTCAAAGATTATAATGTTCTATAATTCATAGCAATATAACATCACTGGGAGAATAATGGTGTTAAAACGATGGGTTTTTGTATTAGGGAAAAACCTGAGATTGTTGAAAGAGCTATATAATTTCCAAATACAATCCAACTTATTGTTTTCCTTCTATTTAGTTCTGGGCACAGTTTCACTGTCTATCTGCAGTACCTATCTTTAATAGATGTCTTGATGGTCTGACTCAATGAGCTATTTATCTAACTGCATGTCAGTTAGATAACAGGCATGCTTTTTTTTTCTTTCTTATATAGATTATTCGCTCAGACTCCTTTAACTGGCTATGGATCTCATTAAGAAGGCTGTACAGCACACTGCTGCTTTATTCAGTCGCCACAATGTGATCTTCAAATCTGGAAGACCTCATCATCTATAGAGAATCTGTGTACCATTTGGACACTGTGCTGGAAATCTTCCAAGACGATGTAACCATCCTACTCTTTGTTCTTTCACAAGTCTGAATCACTTAGTTTTCCAAGACTACCTAACATTAGCAATGACCCATGTGAAACCTTAGCTTTGAGTGGAGTTTAGCAAAAAGAGGACTGGATTTGAATGAAAAAGACCCAGGTTTGAATCTTGGCCCTGATGCTTACTACTTATTTGCCCTTGGACCTTAGTTTCATCTACAAAATGAGGGACTGAACCTCATGATGTCTAAATTCCCTTCTAGCTCTTAATCTATAATCTTAACCATCCTACTACCTTTGGTAAGTTTACTGGCCAAAGCTCCCATCCCACATAACTCAGGACCAGAACACCACCTAAACTCCCACTTAAGGGTGAAAATTATATCAACATCTGAGTTGGGATCTTGGGACAGATCTATTCTTGCTGGAAAAGGTGTGAGTAAATCAAACCCTTCATAAGTAGGGTTTGTAAGACACCAGACGTACACCATCCACTACCTGAACCAGCTGTTTTCCATTAGCCTTAATACCTCCCAAATTAGTCCTTTCCTCCGGGCCAGGAAACAATAAACTAAATCAACACTCAATCTGGGGCTTTGGACAAAGGAATCCTATATGATATAGTCATAGTGTTGAGAGCGTTAAAAGTTTAGAATCAGAGTTCGTTTTTTATTATAATGTTATATTAGAGGAAAAGGAGGCTCAAAGAAG